TGCGTTATGGTAGTACCATGGTATTTTCTTAAATACCATGGTACTTGAGTATGTTAATTACAGTACTATGATATTGCCCTCCAATGCAACCACTGTACCTTGGTAGTGCCAGTTATTGTGCATGTTATTGTGATTTATTCAATCTCAGAGAATTAGAAAAGTGTTAGAATAAGCTGTTTTAATTCAAATGTCCAGATAAGGTATTCAGATAAGTATAAGTTCCTCTGCTTTATAATCCATGCATGCAGTCAGGATGGAAGAATCTGGATCTGTGCAGAAGAGACTGGGCTTTTGTTCTGGCCACCGCATGATGCACGCAGATGTTGCTGTTTTTATGCTTCTCAGAGATGTTTGTTTTACTGTATTCTGTTATTGGCTTTCATTACATAAGTTGTTTGTATTGTTGCACCATGTAGCCGTCTGCTCTAAGATGCAGCTCAATAGCATTAGATCAGACACAGCAGGAATCACACACTCTTCCTGTTCTAATGGGTGTATGCACTGTTTTTTCAGACGTTGTTGTGTTCCCCCCAGCTGGGACAAGTTTATTCTTTGTGTCGCACAACTTTTCCCGGAATCTTAAGAATTTTGCCCTTGAGGCACTGCCAGCTGTATTCTATGAAACCTGCCGTGCAGCTCTTAAGTTTGGCAGACACGTATCAGTGCAGACACATTCGCAGGGTGTCAGAGAGGCTTTGAGTTCATCGGGAAAAGGCCACAGCTGAAGTTGTCTGATATGGGTTTTATACTAGCAGTAAAAAGTTTGTACTGAATGTTTTCCACACCAAATTATAATAACTGCTGTGAATCACTAGAACTATGGAAGAACAGTGTTTAGTATGAGGTGCTCTGTACAGTATTAAAGGAGTTCACATAAATGCTGGACGCATAACGTCTGTATTTCCCTGTCTAACTTGTAAAAAAAAAAGGACATTTAATCAAAATAATATTTATTTGAAGAAATTAATACTATTTATATTTAGCTGCAAAAATATTTGCATATATTTCAGTTGGGGGTTCGGTGTCTTGCTCAAGGGCATAATCATAATACTAATCATA